CGATAAGCAAAGCGGTTTTCCACGTGAAGTTCGACATTAGATTGAATGTGGTTTAACCGAACGCTGTAAGCTTATTCTTTACCCACATTTGTTAAAAATTGAAATAAAGCCGAAGAAAGTATTGTGAGCTGAAATTGAAAGGAAACCGCCTTTGTTAATTTGTTACTTCAGGGTTACTTTGGGGTGTTTGTGCCGATATTCGGTAAGTGGGGCTCGTTCAATATACTTAGGGTAATTGTGTGTTTAATCTTTTAGGCCGTTGGGTACAGTACAATTATTGCCTTTAATTGAAAATTGGTAAATACCCACCTAATCTTATCCAGGGTGGATTGAAAAAGGAAGTTCCATTTCCCATTACTCGGGTTACGAATAAAAAAAAAGAAGAACAAGGAGCTAAAGCATAATCGCCCAGTCAGGGTCGGTCCAGTCACGGGAGTTACCGCAGGTCGGCCCACCGAGGCCCGTTTTTTGTGAAACAACGAGAGAGCAACTCAACTCTCCGTCCAGCTGTCCTATCACCTGCCAGCCACGCAAGGACAATCAAAGTTTCGGAAAGCAAGTTGTTTCTTATCGTCATTATCGGCTAGGAGACGGTCGAACTGCTGGTAACCTTCGGGAAAATACCAGCGGTCCTGCGAGATATTAAGTACTCAGATAAGTTGTTAAAATTTTTGTTTTATAGGCGTCTTGCCATTTTATATTTGTTTATGTAAAAACTACCGATGGTCCAATATTTTGGACAAGTTTGTGTACCTAGGTATTGTTTTTTTTTGTGATTTAAATGTGTGCATGCGTGAGTGAACGGGGAGTAATTCTAATTACACATTAAAGGGTATCTATGTTTGTAAAGAACCACTATTCTTTTGTTTATTGTATTGTCAATAAATTATTTGCGAGTTTGAGAAACTCATTTTTACTTAATCAAAACATTACAACTGACAAAAAATCCTAGAATATCGCACTTACCATATACATATCGTACAGCTCCAAACACTGATGTCAAAAACTTATATAAAGATGGAAAAACAAGAATTACCAAACCGTGGAAATTTTACGTGCATCCAATGTCTGAATGTTTGTTGGCGTGAAGGTATACCATGCCAATCGTTATATGGAGGGGATGGTAGATGTATTTTATGTCAATCAGACCACGAGAATATTAATATCATATGTGATATTTGTTGGAAAATAGTCGGGAAGGGAACTAGACATCATCAGAAAATAACTCGAGTGCATGACCCAGTTGTGTCGTATTATCCAAATGCTCCATCAATTAAAATTGATAATTATGTTAAAGTTGATGGTAGTGTGAAGATAGAGAGTGATTTACCTAATGACATTGTGGCGATAACTGATTCGGCGTCGAGTGGTTGCTTTGACGGAATGAGAAAGAAAGTGGTATTCGAGAAAAAACGTGGAGAAAGTGGTTGTCGTTTTGTTGTCCGATGAATTGGATGGGGTGTCGGGTTATTGGTGCTAGGTATATTTGGAAATTTGACTTGGAAAGAATTGAAGGATCTCTTATACCCTAATGAGATAGGGACGCGGCCTGTGATTGATGCCTATGATTATGCCATGGCTAATAGGAGTGTAAACGTTGGAAGTTACGTTGTAGGGTTGGATTTGCTATGCGCGTATTGGAATGCTGATGCTGGGGGCGAGGAGATGCCGAAATGGTTAGCATCCAAAAATTTGAATTGGAGTTTACATGGGGGGGGGGGAATTGGGAAGAGCAGAAGGCGTCAAGGTGACCTATTTGACTCGTGCCTGACGATGGATGAGTTTCAGAGTAAATTTCTAGCTATCTATCCCTCTTTGTCGTTTTATGATAGTAGTCCCAAAACTAACCATACTTGCTGTCATCTACAGTATCATGAATATATTAAGCATGGATGTCACATTGGGTTTAGTTATGATGCTTGGTTGGCACGGCAGGGAATATGTTACAATGTGTATCAGGCTGGAGTCACATGTCATCCATCCATTGGTCGACATTAATGATCCGTCGAATAAGACGACAGGGTGTCGTGAGCATGTTTCGGTTTGTGGGGACTAGGCTTCGTGCTGTTGAGGAAGGGTTTGAGCCGCCCTAACTCATATGACGTCGTACAGTAGGTTTTATCTATCAAACCGTGGAGCAATTGACCCAAGGAATCCCTCAAAAGAGTCAAGCTTCAAATCCTCTTTTTTTTTGATTCGTAACCCGAGTAATGGGAAATGGAACTTCCTTTTTCAATCCACCCTGGATAAGATTAGGTGGGTATTTACCAATTTTCAACTAAAGGCAATAATTATAACTGTACCCAACGGCCTAAAAGATTAAACACACAATTACCCTAAGTATATTGAACGAGCCCCACTTACCGAATATCGGCACAAACACCCCAAAGTAACCCTGAAGTAGCAAATTAACAAAGGCGGTTTCCTTTCAATTTCAGCTCACAATACTTTCTTCGGCTTTATCTCAATTTTTAACAAATGTGGGTAAAGAATAAGCTTACAGCGTTCGGTTAAACCACATTCAATCTAATGTCGAACTTCACGCGGCGAACCGCTTTGCTTATCATACATGTATATACAAGGGCAACCACTTGCCTTGATTTCACAAATTTTTAAAACAAATTACGCGGGAACAATTTAAAACCACTACGAAACGCTACATCAGTCCCACCAAATTTAGTGACACCGGAACAAATATGAAGATGTTGCTAAATTTCATTTACTTCAGGTACAAAGGGTTTCAACAAAACGACATTAAAAATACACCCCCCCCCCCCCCCGAATACTTCCGTCTGGCTGTACTGCAACTTGGTACGAGTTGTTGTTGAACTCCTTAATAATTCGATATGGGCCTTCATATAGCATAAACAATTGTTTTATCGTGCGATTATCCGCTGATGAGATATTATTAGCTTTTACCCATACCAAATCACCCACTTTTAATGAAGTGCTCACTCGCGGTGAACATTTTTTATACCTTTCAATCCGCCGGGTTGCCTTACTAAGTAGGGCTTCTCGGGTTAGTTGTATTTTAATTTCCCGCGGGCAGTTTTCGCGTTCCGGAACTTGAAGTATTGGTTCTAAATTCGTGGTAGGTTTTTTTCCGTATTGTAATTCATAGGGGGTAAAACCGGTACTACTGTGCGAAACCACATTAAGTAGCGTATTAAGTTTAGGAATCCACTGCATCCACGCGGTATGCTTTTCGTGGCAGTATGTTCGTAATATCCTACCGATTTCCCTCATTACGCGTTCAGTCGGATTCCCTTGGGGGTAACAAATGGAACAATAAACCGTTTTTATCCCTAATTCACTTAAAGTCTTTACCCAGAGTCGGCTAGTAAATTGGGTACCATGATCCGCCAAAATCCGCCGCGGTTTTAAAATGTTGGTAAAATAATCCTTTTGAAGGCGATTTAGAATACTCCGGGTGGTCGCAGTTTTTAAAGGATAGAGTCTTACAAATTTCGAGAACGCATTCAACACTACAAGTAGGAAACACACACCCCCTGTGGATCGTGGTAACGGACCAAATAAGTCCACGGTAACTAAATCTTTATCATCCTCCGGGACAATAGCTAACCTTGGACTACGAATTGGACAAGAGGACACCTTCGCACGTTGGCATATCGAACAGCTACTATCGAATGCTACTACTTTATTTACGTAACGCCGAAGATTTTCCACGATGAAATATTCTGATATGGCAAAAAACGTTTTCTCGGAACCTATATGACCAAAAGCTTCATGGAAGGATTTAATAATTGTTACGATCATGGATTTTGGAATGTAGGCTTTCCATTCGCGGTGTGCCAAATATCTCGCGCGCAAAATGCCATTAAACAACATAAATTTCAAAGCCTGAGGTGGTGTGGTAGTGACCTGTTATCAGTTAACTGTGCTACAATAACCCGAATACGCGGATCATCTTGCTGTTTTATTACAAATCCTCGCATTTCCTTCAGAAACGGGCGATCTAACTGGACGTCAACTGCTGCTATCACAATTTGTTTGCCAATTTTTAAGATCGATTGGTCCGAACTGACGGGGTACCTGGACAACACGTCGGCCTTTTTATTTTGTTTTCCCGGAATGTGTTTGATTTCAATACAGAACTGTTGCAAAAACATTACCCATCGCGCTAATCGTGCATTTAAAAGTTTACATTTTTGTAAGAACGATAACGCTTTATGGTCTGTCAACACGGTAATTGTACGCCCTAATAAAAGAATTCTCCACTTGCTTAGTGCCCAAACTATAGATAAAGCTTCCCGTTCTGTGGTCGTATAATTTACTTCAGCCTTCGAGAGCATGCGGCTGAGAAACGCGACATCTAACTCCTCTCCTTTCTCATCTTTCTGATACAATCGCGCCCCGATACCGATATCGGACGCATCGGTTTCAATATAGAATTTTTTTGACAAATTTGGATGATATACCCTAACGATTTGGGCAAACTCCGCTTTTACTGAAACAAAGGCAGCTTCGGTGGCTTGATCCCATTTCCATTTTTGACCCTTTCGCAACAACACCGTTAATGGCGCGGTCCGCTGCGCAAAAGAAGCACAAAAATTTCGATCATAATTGCACAAACCGAGAAATCCGCGAAGCTGTTTTGGGTTCAAAGGGCGCGGAAATCTTTCAATAGCCGAAACTTTCTCCGGATCCGGTTCGACACCTAATGGCGTTATTATATGTCCCAAAAATTTTACTGTAGGTTGTAAAAACGAACATTTATGCGGATTAATAGTCATACCGGAGTAAAGGGGCTAGGGGGATTCCAGCGCAACTTCCGGCCAAATTACATGTAATTTCCCATAAGGAATTCTAAGGTTCGTTTGGGCTTTTTTTGAGCACTGCGCCTTTGCGCAGGCGTCATTTGGACGCCATCTTGGAATCCTCAAGTTCTTGGTATCCTCAAGTTCTTGGAATCCTCAAGTTCTCGGTATCCTCAAGTTCTTGGAATCCTCAACTTCGACCCCTTCGTACCCTGAAAAATTTTTTTAAATGGAACGGATTCGAACCGCCAACCATCGGATTACAAGTCCTATAGCATAACCACTAGGCTAACTAGACTTGTATGATATAATGCTTCGATAGTTGTATTTATAACGAACCTCTAAATATTATTAAATCATAGATATATTAAATGGTACGGAGGTGCCATCTATTGGCGTCGTAATGCATATAGAGGTATATTTTCAATCGACTCCCTCTATTAGATTGATGTGACATATAGGTATAGGGTAGGAAATTGTAATTTCAGGAGACAGGTGCGAGGACCCTCATTCTAACCTATAATTCCATCTCGGAGGTAGGTTCCCTATAACCAGAACAGGAGTGGGCAGGGAAAAAACAACAAACAAAATGTAGGGTGTTTTTATTTACAGCGGAAATAGTGATTTGAAGTTTATTATTACAATTAAAGCGCTTACTCTACTTACATAAAATTTGCGTCGAAGAGGACCGACGACGGCAACGCCCCTATTTTTTTTTTGGATGACAGCATTGTTATTCATACCTAACTGTAAATTCTCCATTTGGTCGAGGCCGTTCTACAAATAGACTCTTAAAATGTATAATATGTCTTAGCGGAATATTTACAAGGATTTTAAGGTGGTTGAAGCTGCCGTTGAAGCTACGTGCGGTGCGATGTGGAGTCATGGTGTTTTTATAGAAAGAAAATAACCGCGTTTGGACGGGATGCTGCAATCTTGCTATAATGCGATACTGTTTAATTATAGCATCAGCTTTTGATGGTAGGGGCGGTAGGGGGACCGTATGAGCTATTTCATAGGAACGATAGCTACCTCCCCTATCGAATGGAGCTACCCCTTAGGCCTACCGACTACAGCATAGCTCCAGGTTTATAGTTCGTGGGAATTTTCCATGGTTAGGGACCAAGACGTATGAACTACCCCGTAGTTTTATGTAGTACCCTGTTGGGTGGGTTTAAGACGTTAAAGTTATCCTCCTAATTTTATAAAGAGAAAAAAAATAGCAACACGCGCGGATTTCATTATTCACTTGGTATGGGAAGTTGCAATCTTGCGATAGTGTTTATTTATAGCGAATGTTGTGATAAGGTACTTTTTATACCATTTCATTTCCATATTAGTACCGGTACCTATGGGGGTTTTTTATTGTGTCTGAATGCGTAAAGTTCGAAAATCTGCCTTAAAAAGGCGCGAAATATTGTGATTGGAAATGTGTATAAATTCGACGTTCCGCAGTATTTAAAAACGGCGTGCATCCTCAATCCGATTTCAATAAGTGTGTATGTGGATGTGGCTGCTTATATACCTCAGGTAAGCCTTTTTTCAATTTTTTAGTTGCTTATAATTTACTTTTCTTAGGGAGACGTGTCCTTGCGCGCATAATTTGCAGTTTAATGAAAAGCGTGACATTTTATTGTATATGGAACCCTTCTTTGTCGATTATTTTATATGGCTGTTCGCAAATAATCGTCTACATCAGAGTTGGATCGTAAGTATCAAAATTATTTTGTAATAAAAAGCCTACATTGATATCTTTTTTAGACGATATCAAACTCCAATGGAGGATTGTCTTCAAGGATGATTATTAGAAGGCATAAGGGAAAATCGCTAAGAGAAAGGTGACAAGGCATATTTCCTGCCTGTGCCTATAGCATAATTACGTAATCGTTAAATAGTAAAATGAACATTTAGCTGCGTATATTCTAGAAGAGGAACAAGTTACCGAATTATCGATCTACCTTGTATAGCTTTGGTTAAATTATTATTGGTTAGATACACCTCTTTCCATGACCACCCAGGAGGCAATAAATTCGCACTAGAAATAATGCAATTTATTGGAGATGTTTACGGCCTCGTTATAGGATTCCCCATTAGATATTTCTCTACACAGGGTGTATAAAAAATAACTAATAGGCCTACCTTTTTAATAGTACTGCTTGTGCAACAATGAAATCTTAAATTTATACAAGAATTTACTATTTTTAGCTTTATACAGGGGTAGTTTGCTAATAACCTTTAGTCTAAGAATATTCCTAAAATAATATCCTAATTTGTATACAAATTTCCTAGGATTTTGACAATTTGTAACTAATTCATCAAAAATCACAACCTTAATCAACTTCCATCTGTTCAACATCTTGAGGCTTACTGATAGCATAATGGCCCCACGGTAGAGTGTTAAATGAGTCAGGAATCAGGTATCTCTTATCATCCTCAAGACTTAGAGCAATTTTCGACTGCGTTATGGAATAAACTTGATGTTTATCCGTACGAATCAAATTTTGAGATGTAGTTTTGCGCTTATAGGTCTCCAGACACTCCACATAATCATCAAAGGTAATTTTAGTTTCTACTACACTTTTCTTTATCCCCTTTGCCTTCTTAGTCAAACCATAATTTTTAATAATCGTAGCAATTTCATCCTCATCATACTCCTCCGCTTCCAATTTCTGTTGTAGTTTTATTAAATCGTCCTTAGTGGATAATACTTTAGTGGTGTACAGTTTCGATCGTAATCCTACATAATCGGTCATTATCTGTCCATTATTTTCATCTTTCATCATGCCCAACACTTTCTTATTTACAAGGGGTATGCCATATGGGTTATTGGGGTCATAATCGCTAGTATCGTAATATTTAAAACAGTCGCTTTTTATAGCCATATAAGGGTCTTGTTCACGAATTTCGTAAATTAAGCTGTCCGTATCTGTGTAAAGAACAGTACAGTTATCTCCAAATCTATCCATCATGTAGTCATAATGGAAGCTGTAGATGGTCGTCTTGGCTAGATCAAGAATGGCTTGGCCAACGTATATAGGCTTATTTAAATAAATTTCAAGCTTATTCAATTCTACAGCTACCAAGTTTTCGTTAAAAATGGCGCAAGATTTAAATTCCGGTTTCGCAATGTATGATTCTGCGCCGTAACGTCCTTTCCATTGGGATAGTAATTTGATATTAACCCGTTTTCTGACATTTTCCATAGTCTTCCCAAAGACTGCGTTATTCATCAACTTAAACAAGTTCTTCTCAAATTCATTCTTGGCTTTTTTTCTTAGTTCTGTATTAAGGTCAATGTAGGACTTTAGCCAAGGGGACTGTTTAAATTTGAGTACCCTATGTACTTTGGAGAGAATTAGACCATGGGCTAATGCTTGCTTCAAGGCTCGATAGTGGATGACGTATTTTTCTTTATTATTTAAGGTCGCCATGAGTTTTGAAATTTCCGCAGCTTCAGTTGGCGGTTTCATAGTCTTCGGGTTGATGTGTAATGCACAGAACGGTAAATCCGTGTGAGCGTCATGCAAATGCTGTGGATACTCCAAATCAACTTCTAGAATGTAGCCTTCATCTGCATCATCCGGAATCGTAGTGATATCGATGTTGGAGTCTACCCATTCAAAGCCTCCATATGGAAGATATTGACTCATACTCCAGCCATACTGGTTATTGATATCGTTGTACATTAGATAGACATCCGGTTTCGTTGAATCATATTTGGACATATATTTGTTGTTTGCATGAGCTCTTCTTTTAGAGCAGACTTGACTTAACCCTCCACGAATACCCCGCTCGACAAAGAGAAACATATCCTGGTCGGTAAGGAGTTCCAGCTCTTGTCGCGTGTATTTCAACATGGCATCCCAAGTAAAGCCTGGTAGTGTAAAATAGTGGGCCGGATCTAAATCATAGGTACTAATACAGCTTGATCTAAACTGTTCAAAGACATCTGCAAGGAGTAGAATATCAGTCTTCATGTACAAGTCAACATATTGACCCAAGTTGCTGCAGTTAAATCTACTCCACACCTCCTGAGCTCTACGATACATTCTTCTGGGACAGGGCTTATCTTCCAATTTATTGTAAAACGCATCTTGAGGAGGCAGACACAGCTCATCGAAACGGTCGAACGAGTCGAAGTAATCATACGGCATAATACCCTTCTTAGTTAAAATATTAAATTGATCTTCAGGTAGTGTAGAGAATTGTGACTTTAGGAAAGTTCGTTAGAGCTGATGATAATTTATCTAACGATGATGCCATAAACCGGAAGCTGTCTATAAATCTAAAGCATATGCGTGACTCGTTGATGTGTTTGGTAAAAGAAATATATTTCTCCTTGGTTATAGGGAGCAAGTCGATCTTGCCGTCCATTCTAGTGGCAATATCTGTTACAACAAAGTGAGCATCATATCCACTCAAGTTGTGGAACACCACCGGAATTGTATGAGTGTCCTGGTAGTTGACGTTGCATCCCTCACATGCCGCTCCGCGGAAGTTGTTCTCCGGGATAAGGTGATTGTGATCTCGAACTTTCTTTTGACCAGATTTAAATGACTGTTCACAAATATGGCAGTGCGTTGCTGCTTGAAATTCAAGTTCCTGCTGTGGTGTCATATGCATCTTGTAGGGGCAAAGAAACACCGTAGAGACATCTTCCGCAAGCTTATTCATCTCGTCAGCAAACCATCGCATACAGTCTTCACCGCGGTAGCTGTTGTAGAACGAAAGAGATTCATCGTATGAGCACTTGAAGTAGTATCCCACAGCTGCTGGAATATGTTGTTGGTATGCAGTCTTTTTTGTGCTAGGTTTCAGAACGCTCTCGAGATCTGCATATACGACAAAGGGGGCTTTTATTTTATTTTTAAAATTTTTAAACTTCAACATCTTTTTTTCCTCTGTAGGCATCTTGATGGCTGTATCATTCTTTTGTATGCAATCCTTAATATGCTTATGTAATTTATCTTCAGAACGGTAAAAATGTAGACATCTATCGCAAATATACTTTTGCCTTTTTTCTTTGCTTAACTGCTTCGATACTAGCCGTGAAAGATTTTTTATCCAAACATAATGGAACTTGGTCGATTGTTCGTAGCAGTCTTGCACTAAAAGCAGGTTCACATGTTTATCCCTCTTTTCCTTCGTTAGGTAGGTAGGCAACGTATTAAATTGGTCTTTTTTCTCCTTCTTCAGAATATACACGTTAATGGAGATGTTGTTTTGTTTTTCAAAGTTCGGAATTTGTCGCATAGTCATCGGAAACTGGATCCCTTTTAGCTTGAGCACGGAAGAGTAGTGAGGGTATTTGGATATTCTTTGAGGATGTTTATCAACAGGATACAACGCTGAAACCACCGCCCACGCAAAGCACGCATTGTCATCGTTCTTAACGTTGATACAAGCTTCTTTTCTCTTAATCAGGACAGGTAACTCAATATATGAAGAGCCAAGTTGAGGTGTAAATTTGTTAATGTTCACTCCTAAATTAACAACGGCACTAAGTCCCCAACCACTATCACGTTCTTGAAATTCCGATAATTTCTTCATTATTGGTTTCTCAACCTTCTCCTTAAACCACTCATCTATGTTAGTATCCCTATATATTGCCGCATTTGATGTTGTAAAGTACTTATACTCATTAAGCATCTTTTCACCTTGAGTAATCACAAATTCCCCGCAAAAAATCGCATTTATTTTCACAGCCTCATCTTGCTTCAACGCGTTATGAATTCGGCTTTTGAAGATGGTCTTACAATCCATTAAGAAGTTGCCGGGGTCTTTATGTTTAAGATTAGTGATAACTCCAGTTCGTATTCTATTGCTAAAAGCCGAAATGGAGTCATCCCAATGCACGCGATCTTTTGCGGTTTCTTTTCTATTACTAAAAGCCGAAGTGGAGGTTCCTTTATTCAAAGATATACCCAAGCCTCTCCTTTGTTCTAATTTAAAGTGTTTACGCATCGATTTAATATTACGTAAACAAGCCTCAAGATGTTGCCTTTCACCTATGGATAATGACCTACGCATCGAATCTTGAATCCTACGTCTAGCCTTATCACACTTAATTATCCCTTGCCTCACGGTTTTGCCACTATACTTAGTTCTAAGCACACTTAAAATACTTGCAATCTGTTTTACTAAATCGGTAAACATCTTGCACGTCTAAAAGCCCAAAATACTAAATAATAAAAGCAATATTAATAACAAAACTCACCTATAGATATAATACGTCTAAGAAAATACACACTAACAGATAAAATACGACTAATAAAATTCGCACCAACAGATACAATACGACTGATCTCAACGAATGATCGAATTGGAATGGGAAAAATCTGAATAATGTATCGCATATATAGCGAACTCCTCCTAGATACCACCATTGAATAAAAATAGTGTTTTTATTCAATGATACCACTCAACGTTACGATAAATTCGATAATAAATGTATAGGGAGTTGCGAAAGTTATATAGGTTGGTATAAGCAAATTCTATTTATAGGTCATTAATCTATTTATAGGTATATTAGGAATAAAAACAATTTATGCAAAACGTGTTTTATTAAGGGTATCTAAACATTACGGCGTTATTTACTATACCGTGATTTGTGCAATTGCATTTTTCAAACAATTTTTCGGACTCCTCGTTGGAACAAAATGCTGAAAATTCAGTAACGCCAATGATGTGAGTCACAAGTTCGGCGGCATATCCTCTTCTTCGATACTCCGGTAAAGTATAGACGTAATTCAGCATCTTAAGATTTTTATGAATATCTAGAGGATCGAAGTTCATTCTTGATATTAGCGCAAATGCTGCAGGTTTCGAATTCAGGTACCTAATGTAGCAGTAGACGCCCTGATCGATGTACCACTGATAGAGAAAAACATCATCTATCTTTAAACGCTTTATCTCCTTAACTGCTTCTTTACCTCGAAATAATCGTATATTCGTCATCTTCTGAACTGAAGACGTATATCACTCCACATCTATATTTATATGGGTAGGTATGTAATAACGGAAGCAGCATTCGGACTGTTTCTTATCAAAAAGCAACTCATTCACTTTTATTTTAAGAACCTTGCATTTATGCTTCCGCGCAGAAGATTCTAGAACAAGCAATTCTATAATTATCATCATTTTTCTAGAACCATAACGGAAGCAGCATCCCGCTCCCAATCACATTTTTTTCTAGAAGAATGAATAAATAGAATTACAGCATCCGCTCTCCCAATCATCAAACCTTGTGTAGCTATTTTTAATGAGGTTTTCCTGTTTTTATCGCACTTGACGACTGAAACCCGTTAGAGTAGGAAATTTGATAATAAAATGGCATCGAAGTATAATTTTAAACTTTCGGCAGGTTTTTCCTGTTTTATCACACTTGACGACTGGAACCCCGTTAGAGTAGGAAATTTGATAATAAAATGACATCGATCTATAACTTATAATTTTATTATACATACTGAAGCTTTGCCATTACATCATTAACAATAATTGAGGGATTGTAATGTAATATTTCTTCTAAACACATTTTTCTGTAATATACTTCTATGCACAGCTGATTAATTAAGTATCTAGCATCTTCGTATACATCAGCGATAGGCGCGGTCTCCTTATTACTTCTTTTCAAGTCAACCATTTTATTGATAAATATCTGGTAAAAGGTAGCGAAGTTATAGGACCCTAGCTGTTGTAGTCTTGAGTTTATTGCATATTTCATGTTGAACAACTCCTCAATCTCGGTTCTATGCATGCAGCACGATTGATTAAATTGTCGAATATCGATGGTGGTTATAATTTTATCTGAATCATCGGTAAATTTCCAGTTATAAAGTAAGCCTAAAGTGTCACTTAATGGTTCATAGTAATCTTCATAGTTGACGTCTTCATAGATGAGGTCTTCAGCAGACCAACATTTTTCTGTTTTCTTTGATAGATATAGCTGTATTTCGGTATAGGGCTGCCATTTCAAAAGATTGTTCCAATCTTCAACAGTCAATATGACGCCGCAACCCTCGCTCTTGCAAGAGAGGCGTAAAACAGGTTCCTGATGAAAACAAGTGCTATAACCTATTTCAATATCCTTACTATCACTGAGAACGTATCGTACAGCACCAATTAACGTTTCCTTTGCCGCTTGACGATAAATTTCAGCTAATTCCTCTTCTAAATAACTATATGATGGTAATGATGATGATGCAGTAGCATCCAATGACGAACAGAACCAACAATTACACATGTTATCGCCTTCACTCTTGTAGTTAAACTAAATTATGGGAAAAAACTTATAGATCGGTATGAATCAATAGCGTAGTGGAGAGGGAAACAGCATGATGTGATTTAAGAACCTTAGCCTCCTTACCGGCAGGTTTGTCCTCTAGGAATCAGCCATCTTGCTAACTAATACAATGACCTTGCCTACCAGGTCCAACGGGTATGTCAACTAGTCCAGGTGGTTTGTCATCAGCTTGTCAACGGGTTGTCTGTTCATATCGGTACCAAACCGGTTCAAAGCTGTTCAATAGCGGATCAACATCGGTTCAGAGGCGGTTCAAAGCAGTTCGAAAGCGGTTCAGAAGCGGTTCAAAGCAGTTCGAAAGCGGTTCAGAGGCGGTTCGAAACCGGTTCAAAGCAGTTCGAAAGCGGTTCAAAGCAGTTCAGAGGCGGTTCAAAGCAGTTCAGAGGCGGTTCAAAGCAGTTCGAAAGCGGTTCAAAGCAGTTCGAAAGCGGTTCAAGGCGGTTCAAAGCAGTTCGAAAGCTGTTCAATAGCGGGTCAACATCGGTTCAGAGGCGGTTCAAAGCGGTCCAATATCGGTTCAAAGCAGTTCTAAAGCAGTTCGAAAGCGGTTCATATCGGTACAAAAAACGGTTCAAAGCAGTTCAAAAGCGGTCCAACGGCTTTTTCATCTGATCCAAGGGCTCTACCTATCTGATCTAACGGCTTTGCCAACTGTTCCAGCGGGGTTTGCTAACTGACCTAAAGGAGGTGTGATCCTTTTAATTCCCATAGCTCGCTTTTCCGTAAAGACATAAAGGGGTTCAGAACAGAGGACAGAAGCCATTTGGTGTTGTGTTGTCGAGAAGAGCAGCCCTTCAACGATGTCTAAAGCGTGTAATTGGGGAAGACCTTGTAACTGTAGCGACTGTCGACCTGAGCTAAAGGAAAAATGTGAAATTTGCTGCGAAAAAGAAGGATACCGCGTTGGAAGTACTTTAAGAAAAGACAGAAAGGGGATAAAGTGCTATGACTTTGAAACTTGTTGTCAACAATGCTATCAGGAAAATTATGGGGAGAGAGAAGAACGAATCTTTAACATGATGCTGCAAATTCTCGAGGATTCGATTAAAAATCCTCCCAAAAAGCCTCAACCTGACCCTGTCTACGTTACCGAGCGAAAAGAAATTAAAGAGGTGTTGTGCAGATTATTCGGAAAAGAACTGTATATGTGTGAAGATGATAGATGTCGACGCAGAATACTGCAAATTCTTGATAAACTTAAAGTGAAGATTGTTTGGGAAAACAAGAACGGCGGGAAATTTGAATATGAAAGTGATGAAATTGGATACGATCATACGACTGATTGGTTTGAACAGTATATTTTACCTGAGATAATAAAGAAAATAGCGGGACCTATTTGGGTTAAAACATTGCAAATTTCCCCTACATATAGATTACCTAAGGTCGTATATGTAACAAAGGGTTAAGTTCTCCGTAGAGAATGGTATAGAAAACATTTATAGTGAGGCTGATAATTTTTGCAAGAGACTACACTTCAAATTATTCTACGAAACTGTTAAAGTCGCTAAAGGTTGGTAATCCTATATACCTTGAGGATCTATTAGGAGAACCTATAATGGGGACACTTCGATGCTGAAGAAATGTAGAAAACAGCCCATCCGAGAAAGTTTTAAGGCGTAAGGAGACAGTTAGTCGTTTACTGTAGCAATACTGATATCAATTGAACTTTGTAATGCATTTCCTTTCATAATAAATATGTTTACAAAATAATACATTGTAAATGCATACAATGTGTTTTATTCAATAAGTCAAAGTTCGACTATTTATATTTATAAATCGAAAAGGATGCGAATTATCTGTTTATCGTTAAGGACGCAAAAAGGGCTCCGCATATTAACTGGCGAAGTATAATTGGAAACATGTAGGATGGCGTATGACCATGCTCCCATTTAATTCCATGATGGTTATGGATTAGCCAGGTAGCTTGACGTTGTACCTAAGCCACCTGCTTTCCATTAATTGTAAGCTCTTTCAGTAAATCCGGAGCGCTTTTACGCAAATACTATTCAAATATTATTCAGTATAAAGCGGCCACATCATCCAATGCAATTTTATAGATAACGCGCTTCTTCGGTTCTATTGTTATCAATATGACACCTTTGACTTAAACGCCTACAAGTTCTTACGGTTTCCTGTTAGTCTTGCACCTATATCCTCGAGTCTAACTATCATGTCCCGAAAAATTTCTAGAAAGAATTTATGCTTTTCCTATTAAAACAATGCAACTATAGGTGTCCTTGAGTCGTAATCTTAAGCTAATTATTTCATCAGCTACGCTTTACGAAATTATCAATGGCGGCAGCTCGTGAGTAAATAGAATATAGGTATCGTTAAACTTTAGTTATAACAAAATTTAAAATCTACTCATCTCCAGGGCATAACGATAGTCGATGTAGTGAAACAGCCGGCTTTTGAATAGGTTGAGGTAATACTCAAAAGGTGTATGGAATTGGTCAATGAAACGAAAAGTATGTATTCAAGTTTATCGTATCACCTTCAAAGTAGACCTCCTTCTAAAATAATACACTACCTATGCGCATACTAATTTTTGAAGGTCTTCAGACTTCGGGAACCCCCCCGCAACGTACGCATTTTCAAAACAAATAGGGTGCTTTGATCGATAATAATACAAATCTATCACCGGCCTGTACCAAATGTTTTACCTATATAATATCACGTTCTATAGAGGTATGGCGATATTGAATATAATGAGTGAAGGATGTAAATTTTTATTGTATGTTTATCTGCATACCCCTTTGTATCAAGCTTCCTATGACATCGTTTGTCATAGCTGTACAATCTGTACAGGTTTCCTGGCTAAATGGATAGCAATAAATAAAACTCCTCTTCGAAATCGTTTGATAGCCATTTGTTACGAGGATGGCGGGTAAGAATGACCTCTTTTCTATTTTTAATCAAACTTAATGTATGTAATTTTTCAGCTCAAGGTGCGGCCATCATCTTCGGGCCATTACAAACGGCCTATGGTAAATACACCACACATCTATCACACGTTTAACCATATATTTGTAGAACGAGAACTACGTAACTTCATAAAAGAAAAATATGCATCTGTAAGTACTTTTCATGCATCATACCGTATTTTAATTAGCTCTTATTTAGGAAAATGTTGCTATTTTACGGGGTCGGGGGGTAATCCCCGACTCCGTAAAGATAGAGGAAAGCCTGTTTAGGAGTAAGAGGTTCCAGGTCTTTAAAGACCTGGAACTCCAAAACACCTACTGGGTGTTCTATGTAAGTGTTATCATTTCAATTATAATGTATACTTCAATGAATATTTTTTTCCAGAATTAATAAACCTGTAAAATTTTGTTCTGTTTTTCTTATCCGCCCCACTGCATAGGATTATGATTGTATCCGTGTTCTAAGCTCTTACCTAAAATAATAAGATGTAGTGGTTAGGTACTTATCCATAATGCTATACGGTGTTATCCTTTCTCTCGTAAAAGTCTTAAGGTGCCAGAAGCATCTCTATCCTAGTTTGGAATTCAGAAGCTTGCCTTATCACAGATATTATCAGCACATAAACTTAGTTCCCAAGAAAAATTGCGAAAACTTGTGAAACTTTAAACAGCAGCGAAATCTATAGCATTACATTAACTCGAGCTATAAAAAATTTATATCCTATAACTTTGATTGCTAGAATTAATAACACATCTGTTTTAAATCGTACGCTTACACGTATTATATATGAAGGTACTGCTCAAAGTGTATCAATTTGATTTAAGAAGCGTGTCGTATCATAGATATTAACAGTACATAAAGTTAGCTTCCTTTCTCCCGTAAACAAGTCTTGAGGCACCTCCTCCCACCCAACGTCCATCTCTATCCTGTTCGGGATTAAGAAGCCTGCCTTAGCACGGGTATTATCACCATATAAACTTAAATCCAAGAAAAATTAACAAAATTTGTGAGAGTTTATATAACAGCACTATTCTAACTAGAGTAATAAAAATTTATATCCTAGCACTTTGATTGCAGGAATTAATAACACATCTGTTTTAAATCGTATGCTTACACGTATTATGAAGGTGCTGCCCCAAGTGTATCAATTTGATTTAAGAAGCTTGCCTTATCACAGGTATTATCGACACATAAACTATGATTCAAGAAAAATATTGATTTAGCCCCATACGAAACTTTTCTTAATAGCTGTAATTGATATGAAGGTTATATGATAAGCCTTTTCTTAATATAGATATAGCTAAAGTTGGTGTAATACATAATATTCACAATCTTATCGTTTGATAGCCATTTGTTACGAGCATGGCGGGTAAGAATGACCTCTTTTCTATTTTTCATCAAACTTAATGTATGTAATTTTTCAGCTCAAGGTGCGGCCATCATCTTCGGGCCATTACAAACGGCCTATGGTAAACATCACACGTTTAACCATATATTTGTAGAACGAGAACTACGAGAATGGATACAACAAAAATATGCATCTGTAAGTACTTTTCATGCATCATACCGTATTTTAATTAGCTCTTATTTAGGACAATGTAGCAATTCTACGGGGTCGGGGAGTGATCCCCGACTCCGTACTGATAGAGGACGGTAGCTTCCTGGGGCGGAGGTTCCAGGTCTTTAAGGACCTGGAACTTCCAAACACGTATTGAGTGTTTTATGTAAGTGTTATCATTTCAATTATAATGTATACTTCAATGAATATTTTTTTTCCAGAATTAATAAACCTGTTAAATTTTGTTCTGTTTTTCTTATCCGCCCCACTGCATAGATTATGATTGTATCCGTGTTCTAAGCTCTTACCTAAAATAATAAGATGCAGTGGTTAGGTATTTATCCATAATGCTATACGGTGTTATCCTTTCTCTCGTAAAAAGTCTTAAGGCGCCAGAAGCATCTCTATCCTAGTTTGGAATTAAGAAGCTTGCCTTATCACAGATATTATCAGCACATAAACTTAGTTCCCAAGAAAAATTGCGAAAACTTGTGAAACTTTAAACAGCAGCGAAATCTATAGCAATACATTAACTCGAGCTATAAAAAATTTATATCCTATAACTTTGATTGCTAGAATTAATAACACATCTGTTTTAAATCGTACGCTTACACGTATTATGAAGGTACTGCTCAAGTGTATCAATTTGATTTAAGAAGCGTGTCGTATCACAGATATTAACAGTACATAAAGTTAGCTTCCTTTCTCCCGTAAACAAGTCTTGAGGCACCTCCTCCCACCCAACGTCCATCTCTATCCTGTTTGGGATTAAGAAGTCTGCCTTAGCACGGGTATTATCACCATATAAACTTAAATCCAAGAAAAATTATCAAAATTTGTGAGAGTTTATATAACAGCACTATTCTAACTAGAGTAATAAAAATTTATATCCTAGCACTTTGATTGCAGGAATTAATAACACATCTGTTTTAAATCGTATGCTTACACGTATTATGAAGGTGCTGCCCCAAGTGTATCAATTTGATTTAAGAAGCTTGCCTTATCACAGGTATTATCGACACATAAACTATGATTCAAGAAAAATATTGATTTAGCCCCATACGAAACTTTTCTTAATAGCTGTAATTGATATGAAGGTTATATGATAAGCCTTTTCTTAATATAGATATAGCTAAAGTTGGTGTAATACATAATATTCACAATGTTATCTTATTTATCGCA